ATTTCAAGTGCATATTATCTAATTATCTTATTTTAAGAGTAAAAATCCTCATTCCATTGACAAACTATCTCATTTACCTACTAAAATTAAGGGTAAATACACTTCATTTAAGAAAATTTTACCTATTTATACATCGTTTTTCCAGTGAAGGAAGCACAAGGTTCTCTACATGTTGCTGATAGATGCCTGTCTAGATTATGGACTAAAAAATGAAAAAAAAAAAATGGTGGGCAAATGCTGGTAGATGACATCACACCCCAGATCATCATTAACTCAGGAATCATCACACTGGAGCTTAAGTAACATACCGTATATTTGTTGCCACCCTGGTAATCTGGGACCTTGCTTTTCAAATGAAGCAGAAACTTTTACTTCTATTAGAAAAGATGTCTTTGTACCCCTGATCTGGTTCTTTTATTTCTTTATCCAGTTAAGATGTTTCTGACATTGTCTTTGTTTCAGGAGTTGTTGAACTCAAGAGATGAAACAGTTGGAGCCCCTATCCCAGTTTGTGTGATGTAGATCTACGTGGAAGCTCTGACTCCAGCTGCTCTTCCCTCCTTGTGACTCTTAAAAACTTTTAGGAGAACTATTTAACCCTTTAAAGAAGAATAAAACAAAACAGAAAATTACTTTTTTTTGGTTTGAATTCCTTATTTTCCTTATTTGAAAAAAACAGAAATACATTTTTGATAATAATTTATTACTATGCGATAAGTCAACATTATTTTTTGTGTAGTCTTCTGCCCTCTGTTATCAGGTATGTCTGATTGTGTACAATAGGATTTTAAGCAAAGTTTTTACCATTAAATTATGCAAAAGGTGTCAGACGCAAAACATTTCAGAAACAGTATGTATCAAAAACGATACATCTGGCATTATAGGGTTAAAATCCTTTCTCAAGGCTGTTGAATTTCTGTTGCTTGTGCATCTTTTCCCCACCACATTTTTTCCTTCCACTAAACTTTATAGTAATCTTCACTACAACCTTTTGGACTTATTTTATGGATGTTATCAGGTCTCTACCTATTACTGTGGTTACCAAATTATAAAATTTGTCTCCCAAAAGCCTCCTAACTAGTTTATTAGTACAGTTAACAGGTACATGGAACAATAAAAGATGCTAAGCACAAGATTAATCTTCAGCTTGTTTCCATTTGTTTACCCTGCAGATGGCAAGAAAGTTAATTACACAGTTTAGTATCATACAGCAACATACAATTTAATGCCCACAAAAACCCAGTTTTTGTCATCTGTATGTTGTATAAAACTACCACTGTCAACAATGGGTGGTGAGGTTGCCCGAGGACCCAGATGCAGAGACGGGTGAAGCAGAGATGAGTTCTGAGAGGTTTAATAGCTGACCAAAGGTAGCAGAGGCAGAAATCCAAAAATCCAACTTAAAATATTAAACAAACCAAAACCATGGAGACATCAGAGGAAAAACGAGCCTGTGGAGCCAGGGAGAGACGAGCAGAGTAGACAATACAGCAACGAGAAGGAACCAGCACTGAGTGACTGCAGAGGTGGAGTATTTAAGGAGAACAGAACAAAGGATGGACTAACGAGCGAATGAGGAGCAGGTGTGGGTGGAACTGGCAAGAGGGAATCCAAGGGGAAAGAAAACAATCACAAGGGGGCGACAGAGAGTAACTAAAGAACGCTTGAATATCATGGAAAATAAAAACTAAACAAATGATAACAGAAAACTCAGAGTCACAACAAATGAGAACCAAAACAACCACAATAAAACTATCATAACAAGAATTTCTAATAATTTTGTAATATAATTTTCTTCGCATTAAAATAATAGTCATTAAGGTTAGAGGGAAGTTTAGACTTTCATAGTTTGGAGTTTTCAATATCTGTCTGCCAAAATCCTCAAAGCTGGGGTAATAGATCAATAGTATATGCATGTCACTTTTTTAATCTAATAACCTAACAACAGTAACTTTATAACAGGTTTAGACTCTCCCAGCTGGCAGGAGGCTGTGGTCCTGATGGACTGAAGCTTTTTCACACCTTCTACTAGCCTTATAAACAAGGCCAGGCTTTTTCATGGACATTTTTTCAAATG